TCACACTGTCCCCTCAGGCTCCCCGACCCCTCCTCCCGCCGCCAACGCCACTCCCTTTCCTCCCCTTTCTTCCACCGCCCCCAAACGACCCGGTAAAGCTCCCCGTCACGCTTCCGCCATCGGCTTCGGAGTTCGCACTCGCGGCGCCGGCGCTCATGGCGCGCGGGTCCGCGTCTTGCGAGTTGGGAAACGAGGTTTGGCGGAGCGGGTGCAGGCGTTGTTTCTTGTGAGGGCCCGCGCCGGCGCTGGCGATGGTGGCGACGCTGGTGCGCCTTTTGGGGGGTTGGTTGGGCTTTGAGTGCGGGAGGGAGAGCGGGGCGGGCGGTGGGGACAGAGACATGTTTATTTATTTATTTATTTAGTTATTTATTTATTTATTTATGTATGTATGTATCCTTTTGTTGCGGGATCTGCACCTGGAGATGATGAGGTCTGAAGGGGACCTCTGGTATCCTGCTGTCCGGTGGTGTCTGGACGATATGCGGAGGGTTTGAAGGGTTGGAGATTCGAAGTAGAAGGACGTCCCTGCGCGGTTGGTTGGTGGTATTGTGCTACTGAAGATGCAACGACTAACACCAACGACTTGGTGAAATGAGTGCCGTTGCGGCCGATGGTTGTATGATGGTTCTATAGGGTATCATTAGGTGTTAAGATGAGGAGAGAACCTGCGAAAGCTGGCGTTAGTGAGTATGGATAGAGCTTGCTCGAACCTTGAAGCAAATCAATCCGGGAAAGAAGCCGTGACGGATTATGTCACGTGATGGACCTCAAGAGCAAAATAGCTGGCTGATCATGGAATATATTATATATTTCTGTTCAACATTTTGAAAAAAAAAAAAAAAAAAAAAAAAAAAAAAGGTAGTTCAATTTATATTTATTGACTGACATTTGACTGACATTCAACCTACAAGTGAAGGCTGGCAAAAGGGATTGAAATTGTGTAAAGCTAACAGACAGCTTTGAATTTCAAATGAGTGGAATGATTTTTGTTCGTCAGAGAAAACCTTTCAAGAGAGGAAATTGAAAAAAAGGATTAACCCGAAAACAATCAAAAAGTTGCTTTGATTTCAATAGAAAAGCAAGAGAGAAAATGAAAGCACAATCACAGTTGAAAGCGAAATCATTGAGATGTGGAACTATTCATAGATAGTATCAGACATTGATCAAAGAAGATTGAAATCAAGCTAAGCAGGATAAAAAAGCAAAAGCCGAAAGATTATAAGAATTTTTTTTTTTGTTTTCCATCCCTCACTCTCCATTCTCCATTTCCCTTAAAGCACATGTTCCCCAATGCGCGGCGCGCCACCTCTCCAGTCATTCCGCTCATAGTAGCGGAAGACAAGATCATACCCATCCAAATCATGCACGATGCGATCAATACGACGGTAGCCAGGGATCCGCTCCATCTTCTCATCGCGAACAGCCGCGTTTTGGTTGCGTTTCAGCTGCCGCTGATCGCCATGCGACTGGTGGCTTTTGCCATTTGCATTCCTGTTGGAAGCAGATACAGCACCATTGACATCGTTAGTATTATCGGTACTGTTATTGTTGGTAGCATTGGTATCAGGCCGCTTCTTAGTCTCAAACAGTGTCACGCTGAAACGACCCGGTTTGAAAATGTCCACGACATGCTCGACGATTTCGGAGGCTCCGCGCCCGCTTTGGAGTTGGGGAACGTTAGTTTCGAAGGAGGCGTAGGAGCAGTGGGGTTCCGGGGTCACATGGACGGTGAAGTAATGAGAGCCAGAGGCGGGCTTGGATGTTGCGTTCGTGTCGGAAGGGGGAGCCGGTACGACACCGTTTGCGGAGAAGCCGCACGGCGTAAATAGATACGCATCGACCCGCGCACCAGGGTATTTGCTTGTTGGATAGATGTCGGAGAGACCGCATGATTCAGCAACGACGGTTCCAAGACCGTGGCCTTCTGTGGTGAGTTCGGGAGGCAAGGATTGTTGATCCATATCTGAGCCCAGGTCATCCCACCGGTGGGAGGTGTTGCTGAATACATCTAGATGTTCGTCATCCTGATG